TTAGAGCACAGCTCTGTGGCTTTGAGGAGGGGAATGCAGAGCGCATTGGTTGAATTGAAAGTGCCAGGTTTGCAGGTGCAACGTTACTATCTGCGAGTACGTGCTGTTTTGTGCTGGTAGGCAAGACCCGCAACATCTCTGAGCGTTTTTTTGCCTTGCAGATCGTTTTCGGATGCATGTCTGACAGTTGTTGCGAGTCTAGCACAAAACGATCTGTCGCATTACCTATGTCGTGAGAACGAAGTTCACAGAGTTGCCAGCTGTGGTACGACGTGCATGTGGATCTCAAGTCTGCACTGAAATCGTCATGCTGAGCTCAGCCACTTTGCAGTGCAAGTGCAGCATTCAAACGGGGCTCGCCAGAGCTTCAAACAATTCTCCCAAGAGGATGGTGAGGGCGTCACGCATTACGACTTTACCATGAGCTTCTAACACACTGCACACTAGGTCATGTGGCTCAATATGGTGGGGAACTGGTTGCTTTCACAGCGTGTTCAGTCTGCCGATGCATTGCGTTGCATCGTGTGCTTCACTTGCTCCAAGATTGCTGGCAAAGCAAGCATCCCTGCTTAAGTTTTACTCCGGGAAAGCAGCTCAGAGGAAACCCTGTGGGGGGCGAACCCCGTGGGGGGCGCAATGCTCACACAGATGACATGCGCGTACAGAAGAACACATCATGTCGATCTTGCTAGATACAGGCTGCCGCTGTTCCAATTTTCCCTCGTGACTTTGAACGTCAGTGCCCATGTCCTCTAGCATCTTCTGAGCGGTCTTCGCATCAACAAGTCGTTCGCCCAGCCGTGGGAGCACCCTCGCTACGCGAGCCTTGAGGGCACATTCATCAAACATGCCATCATGATGGGGCTCGCAGATCAACGGTTGTGGTCTGGAAGGGGCATGTAGCTTTATATGGAACATGATGTAAAACAACATTTATAGGCCGCTGCGCTAATGAGTTCATGGAACCAAGGGGTTTGGATAAGGGACACGACACCATGATCTAAGGGTTTGGAGCTGGGTATGGAATGGGGCCATTGTGATGCTGCAAACCAAATATGTGGATGAAATCCTGCGTGCTCTGCAGTACTGCAGCCAGTGATGTCCCCTCCAGCCGGATCGGAGGGTCGACATTGACATGCATTGACTTTGCATGGGCTTTTGGCGATTAGCCTGGCGCTATTCGCTTTCACCTGCCGGCCCGCCTTGAACGCAGGGCTGTCGGGTGTCAACTCTTCGACAGTTGGCTTCACGTAGACCTTCAGTGGACGCTCACCCACAACCACATCAGCATCGGGAGTATCTTTGTGGCGTTCCAGGTACGCCTTGATGCTTCTTTTCTGAGCCTCGCTCAAGTCCCCAGCCAATTGGGCATTGTACTGGATTGGAGCTGCCTCCGCAGCATTGTCTTGTGTGCTCGCAAGCAAAGCCAGCGCATCAATGATGAATCGGCGGCTATGGCTCGGATTGATGGGCGGTGGCGCGACTTGTTGAAGGAGCAGTTCGTGCTTGGGCCTCCTCCAAAAGATGAAGGCCTCTTGCAGCAAGGTTGCTGCAGCCAAGGCAGAGACAAGCATTCCAACACTGGAGCTGCCGCGTCTGTGAACTGCCATGACCTTCTACTCTGGGACTGCTGAGCCACACGTCTTCAGGAATATCGCAACTTGAGTTTTGCAATACTGTCGCTGGAGAGACCTGGAGTCACATGCATGGCTCGTGACGAAGTGTGGCGCATGTAGCGGCATGATAAATATGATGCTCCAACCTTCGTTTGCAGATGTGGAGGTCTATTGCTACTACTGCTAGTTAGCCCTTCTGAGCTTTATTCGGCCTAATCCACTGCACCAGCGCGTTTTACGCTTCTGCAAGCCGTGAGCCGTGATCATGGAATGCTGAAACGACATTCCATGCCCTGTAAACGATTATGTCTGCAACGCTGCTTCTACATCCCAGTGGAAGGGATTTCAGCTGCTGAGGTCGGAAACATCATGAACTCATCGTGAACTCATCATGAACTCATAACTTCTTGCCATCCCAGACAGCTCAACGTCTATCAGGTACCAATAGTCTCGTCTCCAAGTGTCTGCCAAAGGGTACCGGAACCAAGCAGATGGGCGCGGGCGATCTTCACACGCAAGTTCAGGTGATCACCCGTACAGATAAGAACTTGGAATGCTTGCTCTCCAGGCTCCTGCATCGCAGAGACAGTGCGCGATCAGAGGCGCGGCGCTGGAAAGCCTCTCCAGCCTGCACTATCCGCCAAAAGCCTTTCTTCCAGACCGGCACCTGTCCAGTAAGCTGGACTGGTCACTGCACGTGCTTGACAGAACCAGCTACCACTGGGATTCGCGGCTTGTCCCAGGACTTTTGATGTCGGAATGCATCGTGATGTCAGCTCACCGTGGATAGCGAGCAATCATGGTTTGAGCACCTCAGCATCAGCGCCAATGAACTTTGTTAAGCGTTCGGTTCAAGGGCCTTATTCAAGGGTCTGACATGCCTGAGGTGCCAGAAATGTCAACAGGATGAAACGATGATACAGTACAACTCTCAATGACCCTGGGAATGGGCGCGGATGGATGGGGCCTTTCTCAATGTCCATCACGCAAACAAGCAACTTGTAGGAAGAACATGACGCGCGCGCAAGATGGACACCACATCCAAGTTCGTGAAGCCCTCTAGCTGGAGGGCGTAACCATGTCCTTGACAAGAGCTAGCTGTCGCGGCAATGGCATTTCTCTTAGACAAAGCTGCAGCCAAGTTGCGAAGGAGCATCTCAGCCTCAGAATTCGAAGCAGAACGCAGTGAACAGCTGCATACTAAGGTTTGCAATGCTATCCTTAGAACGAACACCTTTGACCTTCTGCCTTGTCCTTGCATCAGGGCTTCAAGCAGATCTATGACACAAAAGATTGTACGGCAAAGGTCCGCGGACACCTTCTGAGAAGCTGGCCATTTCTTGCAGCCCTGCGTTGTCCTGCAGCTCCAGCACGTGTACCAGCGTCAGTTGCAGGATATGCTGCAGCATGCTGCATCAAAGCTTCTTGGGCCGCTCTGGTGCGTTTGGTCTCATGGTGGTGGCTGAGACCGCTGGTCAACGGATACTGATGGGCCATGAGCTGAACAGGCTCTGCAGCCATTTTTGATATTGCAGATACAACCGAGTCGGTTGCAAATCCCACCCGCTCTATCGTGCATGGGCGGTGCTATGACAAAAATCCCATGATTTCATTAAACAGCGCTGTTCTGCTATCTGCAATCAACTAGCTATCAACGCTGAGGTCCTGGGCGATCGAGATGGCAATGACTTTGACCTAATTAAGGAACTAGAAGGCAAAGATGTTTTCTCTGCAGCTTTTAACTTCCTGATGCCACATCTGTCCTGTAAAGCCCCAACACAACCTGTGACCAACAACAAGCCTTCAATGACAGCCCGCCTTCCCGCGCTGCAACAAAAGCTCCGCCGAGCGAAGTGCATCGAACTCGCGGCCGAGGACATGAATGCGCAGTAAGTCCACCTGCAGAAGTCAAGCTCCTTCTTGGAAGTCTTAGAAGAAACCTTGTGCTGCATCATGCTGCGTCGGGGGTATTGCATGCCTGGTCGATATGGGCCTCTTCCAGCACAGCTTGGAGACTTGTACATCCCTTGGCAGACATGCTCCAAGGTGCAAAAGAAAGGCAACTCGAAGACGGTGCCACTTTGAAGGTTGCATGCAAGGGTCCATCTGTTTGGCGTCAGAAGCTGCCTCAACGAGCAGTCAGGCAGGATAAACCTTCTTTGGCCCGGCCTGTGAGCCAAAGCACTGTTGGAACAGCGGAGGCAACGCAGAAAGTTCGCCTTTGTCTGTCACGTGTGCATGCAACATGCAACTAAGTTGCTTCGGCGTTGACTTCCTTCCATGCTGGCTGTACCTGTCTCCCGTTGCTTGCAGATGCATGTGTCAACAGCTGCCAAAATCATCCAGCTTTGCTACCCTGTCTCGCTCGAGAAGTCCATAGGTGACTGGCATGTGAAACCAAACCAAACTCATGATGCGTTGACAAGGCACCAGGTACTTTCCAGTCTGGCGCAGCACTGCTCTGAATTTTCCTCAGCTCTGGAGGACGACTAGCGCTGCTCCTAAATGATTCTTGCCCATACCTTGAACTGAAGAAGTCAGAACATGTGGGAAAGGGAGGCACTCGCGTAAGGCTTGCATCAGGCTACTTGGGCAAAGGGGCGTTCTTCAAAATACTTTGCCAAATGAGCGTCGGTCATCCGAGCACACAAACCTCTGGACAACCGCCAACCGCTCCTGAGCAGCACTCTTGGGCTCGTTGACCAGCCATGGCCAAACCAGCCAGGCTGAACACGCGCACAGGCCACGAGATGACTTGCACAAGCTTTCCATAGCATCCAGGCATCTGCCAAATGATTGTCATGAACCGTGCGGTTCAGAGCGGCTACTGCAGGGGCGTAGCCATCAACAGCAAGACCACGTGTCCTGGATTTCTTGCCCTAGACTGAAGGCAACTTATGTTATCCAGCAGCGTGTTCCCATGAAAAGCAACAATGCGTAACTACCTGGGTACAGATACCAATTGACTGGAAACTGCTTGGGTACCGCACGCTTCCGGCAGGTGCGTCATCGCCCATAAGATGCAGCCTCACAACGGGAGGCTAGCAATGGCGAGGGAAGACTTCAAAAGCAAGGCATTTCTTGACGGCACTTTGCCAACTATAGCATTGCCTAATGTTACCCTCACCCTCCCCTATTTGCCCGCAGCATCTTCATGCTACGTGCGCATCCACGGTCCTACTGTCCATATAAATACCTCCACACCTGCAACATTATTGCTCTTTACAGCGAAACAAGATACAAGCGAATGCATGCCCAGATCCATGATAATGTCCACCATGACCCCACCCACAACAAGTGAACCCATGCCAGAACCCATATTAACGTTCACTTCGACCACATCCACAACCACGAAAACACTGCTATGCACAGCACATTCCGATGAGCGGGCATTTGGCGAGGGCAAATAGGGGGGGTCGTAATGTTAGCCCCATAATAGTAACCCTACAGCATTTGCAGATTCCGTGTCGCACAAATGTTAGCCAGTTCCATCTAATGTTGCACCCTCTTTAATATATATGGCCCCCCCAAACAATTTAGGGCGTCCTGAGTCAAAATTGTTTGAGGGCCTGAGCCGAATCCTAATGGTATAAGTATTAGTACGTAGTATTAGTATTCGTAAGGCCTTAAGCTAACCTCTGGGGTGTTCAGGGCTTCAAAGCAAATAGTAAGGTTTCAGGAATTAGGGACCCTTAAGCTCTGACTTATCTGATGAAGAATAATCAATTACTATTTAAAACTGAATGTTTTATCTTTTCAAACCTAAAAAATGCTACTTTGCCACCCAAAACTTGACATTAAAGAGGGTCCCTGAAACATATTGCCTGTCCTGAATAGTCCCCCAAAACTTGATGCAAAAGAGGGTACCCTACCATAACAGAGCCCAACATCACTTCTGATAGCTCTTATATTCGGAAAAAAATTAAAAGTGCAAGTGACACATGTTACGGATTTCCAGACAGGCTTTCGTGATGAAAGCCTAGAGGTCCCACATTTGGGAGTTCGGATTATCAAGTGGACATTACGCAGGCCACTTCATCTCAAAAGCCCCTGACTTGCCAGTGGCCTCCCAAATGGCTTCCGATCCTTAGCGGAGACAACATCACAGAGGTCTGCAAGGCATGGATTTTCTAGATACGAACCATCGGATGGCAAAACCGAGAGAAGCAAAGGCTCTCCACAACGGTCAGAGGCCGCAAAAGGCCTCGATGCTCTGCAACAACGTCCTTGAAAACTTTGTCCTCAGATTATTAGCAGCATGACCTTTGTTGGGTGCCACTAGTCGCAGTCTGGTCTCATTCCGCTGCCCAGCTTCAGCTCCGGACGTATGTACCCGCCCCCGCTCCAAACTTCAGAATAGTTGTGGCCAAGCTGCGCAGTGCAGCTCAAAGAAGGTGCGCACGTGGTTTGACTCGACATTCCGCGTCGGGAGCAAGTGCACATAGAAGGGAGAGACGCTGTGCGTCACTGAATCCTGCAATCAGACTACCTCGTGTGGCTTGCGGAATGGCTGCTGAGCGGCAGTCCAGCTGCCCGCTTGCACGTCAGAGGCGCCGCAAGTAGCTAGTATCACACAGGCGGGAACGTTGGATTTGAGCTGCTGTTAGTCAACAAACTTGCCCTGCTTCTGTCCGGTAAGTGGATCTCTTCGACGACTTGGCTGTCCAGACGGTCCAGCAACTCGAAAAGAGGAATCTGCACCAAGGCTTCCAGGGAACGAATTCGGCATGAGGAAGTCAAACAACTAAACATTAGTGCCAGGAAATGGAACATTCATCGGTATCATTGCGATATAACTCATTTCACATCTTTTTCTACATGAGACCTGTTGAGCTCGCAGGGCCAGAGCGCCGGCCTACACTCTACATAAGCCTAAGCCGAAGAATGCGGCCCTGAGCAGGATTGCAACATCATTGCCTCTGCTTGGCCCATCAAGGTGAAGAGGCCATACCTGAGACTTCCATCCAGGACTATGAACACTGACAAACCCTCTGGGCCAAGCGATCTGCGACCGCACAGTATCTAGATTGTCATCAGGCAAAGTTGCATGCTGGCCAGGCCAGATGTGCCTGCAGCCGCCTCCAACAAATTTCAAATGTTTGGGATGCGATGCGCGCAGCGAAAGTGAATCATGCCAGCAGCTGAGTGTATCAGGTCAGGTAGAAAACCAGGCTCCAGGTCAAGAAAATCAGGGTTGCAACGCTACCTCGTCTTCAGCATTCCCTATAGCTTAAGGCATGGTAAGAATGGATGTGATTTGCTACTTGTACTAGCGCGAGAGACTTGTTGGATCATTGCGTTCTCGTTTGGCGCAACCGTCCTGAGACAACAAACCAACCAATTCTAAAACGCACCTTGGTCTGGCGATAAGCCTGCAGCAGGAAGCGTTGTCCCATGTGAACCAGATGGTTCCTCTCCTGCACACAAGTCGTGCACAGACTTGCTTCACTCAGCTGAGCCCATTCAAGCTATGGACCTGCTTTTCTACAAAACCTTCGTACAGCTAGACCCTAGGCCCAAAGCCGAGCCATAAACCCACTGGACAGTTGAAAAGCAGTACCTGCGGCAAATGCACAATATGAAGCTCCTTCGACCGGACTCAGTGCCACTGAGTGGTGCTGGGCTCCTTGCGAGCGACGTCTGCACCCTGGGCAGATCCCACAGTCGCTGGGCCACGAGTGGTACGGAGGAAGTCCTGAGCTGGATGTCAATGGCTTTCCATGCAGGGCTGCGCCAAGTTGCGGTGTAGCTGAAAGTGACATGTCTTGCATGCTCCGAGACACAAACTTCATGCAAACTCGACTTTGAATTGTCGAATCGAAATTCTCGGTAGGCCCTCATGGCTCACAATCCACACGCTCAGCTCCCATCCGTGAAGCGTATGTATATAGACTTGAAGCGAAGAGTAGCCTACCAAGAACCTCAGAGCCGCAGCTGTTTCTGACTACGTAGTCTGAAGCGCTGATCTCGATGAGTCGGCAAATATCACATGCATGGGAGGCATCCCAGTCGCTGCTTCAGCAAAGCGTAAGGCAGCGCGTTCCAGACTGGAGAAAGCATGGCCTGCTGAAGTGCAGTTTCAAGTCTGAACCATGTCTGAATACTAAGTAAAAATATATACATAATATGTATATATATATATCTATCTATCTTTAACAATCTCTTTGAGTTTCATCTGCACGGGGCTCACGGCTCAGCCTGGCCACTTGGCCAGCTTAATTGGTGCTTCCTCCGGCGCATCGGATCCCAAGTGTCGGTCCAAAGCATGTCGCAGATCACGTCCTTGGGCAGAGTGCCACACGAGATGTCTTCAGCAGTGAGGAGTCATTGAGGCCCGATCCCAGCCAAAAAGGGCAGAATGGCTTGCACTCCCAGAGCCAAGAGATGTGAGCCGACTGTGTTGCGTGTCACATCCACATACGGTTCTTGGAGGCCATATCTCACCACAGCACGGGAAAAAATCAATTGTGGAGCATGGCTGCTTGCCTGAAGGTCGTGTTGTCTTGCCAATGCACAGCAAGGCTCCAGCTGAAGAGACCTCCCTCTTCGCAGAGCCTCTCAGCATTAGAAACTCCGGAAACTTCACCTGCAAGCGGTTGTTGTGCAGGTTTTCGCAATGGAGCTGGGACCCCAATTCTACAATGCCTTCTTTGACAACTGCAAGAACGCTTTCATCTCATCTTGCAATTGTATTCCCAAAGCTCTGAACATGGACATTGCAGATCAACCGGTAACCAGCGGTAGCTCCAAAGCTGGCTAAGCTATTGGCCTTGGCTCGTCCCTTTGGCTTCTACGAAGTATGTGTTCTTCTGAACAATTGATGGGATAACCCTACCCCACCGCTTTCACTTGATCAGTTGAAAGTAAGTGTGTTTGCATGTACTGGTTCCTTTGCCAAGGAGCACGTATGGCATGAAAAAGCCTCAGCTTCTTCTTCAGAGTGCCCGTCACAAAGATTCTCATTCCATCTGCCCCCGGACATGCTAATCGGGAGTGCGCATCAAATGCACCCCCGCCTCTCTCGCCACCTCGTTGCATTACGCAAGCAGAAGCTACCATGCCCAGCCCAAAGTGAAATAGTACCAATAAACAATAATATCAGTAACAATGACGATGGGAACAACATTCAGAATTAATTAGTAATAGCAAACGTCATAGCAATACTAGCAATACTAGTAACTCTAGTAATTCTAGTAATACTAGTAATATTAGTAATAGTAAGAATATTTAACACTTGTAGTAAAGATTTATCGTAATAATTGTAATAGCAATAATAGGAATAATAACAGTTGTAATCGGAATAAGAAGAGCAATAATAACAACAATAGCAATAATAGTGCTTTCCCCAAAGCCAAGCGGCGCTCCAAAGTGGAACCAAGGTGCGAAGGATGTCCCTCCGGTAGCAAAAAGAAGTCCTGCAGTGCTAGAGCAGCCAGAAAATGGAAGATGCCAAAGTGCTTTGGATTGCAGTGCGATTGCAATTTGGACCGTCTGCCAGAGGCATTTTTTGTAACCTTGTCAGAGTAAAACCGAAGGCCACCTGTGCAGCCTTGGATTCGGCTTTGAGGGCCTAAGGATACGGAGGGCAGACGACTCTGGATTTCCAGACTTCGCATGACACCCTTACGTTGGCACACCATGCACCTTAGCAATGCAAGAGGAAGACAGCTGTCCTGAGATGTTCTTCACGATGAGTTCCTCCACAGCTGCCTCAGGTCGTGATTTGGCTATCTGACGCGGGGCTCAGCTTGTCACAACAAGTGCAGACTTTTGCACACCCAAAACACCAATCAGCTTTATGCATTGAACTGTTGACAACGAGCTTTTCCCGAACAGCTGTGTCTCCGCAGCTTCGTGTTAAGTTCTTTCACATGCAGTGAGCGGACGGGTCGGCTGCTAAACACCCGAATTCCAGAATACGGAGACTTTGCCCGGGCGACGTATCCTCTCAAAGCACCAGAAGCCAAAATGTGCTCTTGGGTTGGATGATTACTCTTTGCGAGTTGATACTCTTCCGGTGGCAGCTGCCAACAAATGTTGCATATATTAGGACTGTTGCCAGCGCGCGACACCTAGATCGCAAAACCATCGGCCTGATAAAGTTGAACCACAACTATGGAAATACGTCTTTCTTTTGACTCAGTTCTTATGGCCTCAGCAGCGATGATGGCCTTCGACACTTGAAGCCGACTGCTAGCATCCGGCCTCGAGTGCCCATGCGCACTTCGCTTGACCAAGTCAACCCCTTAACCCCGCACATCCCTGCTCCCTCAAGATGTGCTTGTAGTGCAGACACAAGTCCAACCTCATGAGGGCGAGGTTGTGTTAAGATGGTGGACTGGTCGGTTGAGCCAAGCTCTAGCGCTAAAGACTCGCAACACCCCAAATGCACCTTTCAGCCGAGGGGCGGCAGCTTCTTTATCTCACTGGCCAACTGCGCAAAAAGCAAGCTTCCTCAGAAAACTTTACTCGCATCTCAAAGCCTCTAGACAAGGCTACGAAAAAGGCAATGGCAGGGGGAAGCTGCAGATAGTTTCGTGGCACGCTCAAACTTGTGGGCATGCTAGTCCAAGGCCTCTAGACGCCAAAGTCCCCGAAACCCAAGGGTTTGCAAGCCTAGCTTCGGAAAGCAGCCGGACACCACAACCAGCCTTTGCGCGGTCCAACACTGGATGGGCATGGATTTGTACTTTTCTCATCAAACCTTTCCATCTTGAAGGATGGCTCAGACATAGTCTAGTCTGCGGCCAATACAAAGTTACAAAGACAGGAAACATAGTATGAACATAGGTCAGTACGGCCACAGAAAGTAAGATTCTGAAGAAGATTGCGTAGAATTGTGAATGCTGTCGACTCTAGCCTTTACGTCCTTCTTCTTTCGAAAGGCTTATCTAACATGCTTGGCTTTTCAATCTACGGTGTCGGAGCCGGCTGGAGCTAGTTTGAGCATCAGTGAAGGCAGTGCATGCGGACAAGCTCTTCTTTTCGTAAGGAATGATTAGAGGCCACTAGCCTTTGGTGCTTCCATCTATCCCAAGCAAGGATCTTTTTTAATCCCTTTGGAGCCTTCCCTTTCAGTACCAGGCTCCTTGCAAGCAAGACTTCCAATTATGGAGACCGTAGAACTCCAAAACCAATCGGATCTTTCGAGCAAAGCTGAGTGCCAGCAACAAGCACTCGCTTTTGATGGCCAAAGCTTCAGGGAATTTACATGTTACATATGATTTAATGTTACAAATGGTTTGAACACAGCAAAGACAAAGGTCTCCTGGTCAGGCTCTCCTATAACACGACTCAGCTTCAAACTGTTCATCTGGTTGGCCGCAGTGAGGACCTTGACGTCAATCGCCTTCTTCAAATGGGGCAAAGGCTTTGAGGCCTTGTTCAGTTTCCCAGTTTGACGCAGATCTTCTCCAAAGTGCTAGAAAATGCAAAATGTGGATCCTGCAAGCTGGTTGGGCAGACTGGCTGAGGGAAAATGCCCTGATATTAGGCTTTGAGCTGGCTGCTAGCTGAAACCTCAAATCGCGCCGCTCAACCTTTTCATCCACTTCCTCTGAAGTCCTGGCCTCGAAGTCTGCGCGCATTCGCAGAAATCCCAGCAATTCCGTGCAGCTCCGCTCGCCTTCGACTGCCCAAATGCCACGGGTAGAAGTGGATTTGACAGGTGATGTTACATGGTATAGCCAGTGCATCGCTAATTCCCCCGAAGCACTTTCCTAGCTATGTCAACAACGTTCCTCATGCAGGGCACAAGATACAGCGTGGATTTTTTTTCGTTGGTGAGGGGAGGCGCGGATGGTCATGCGGGGGGGGGGGGGGNNTTGATGGGTCTTTAGGGGGCAGAGCTCCAGAGAACAATGGAACATCATAAAATGTGATGAAAATGCTTATAAACGACGACAACGATAAAACATGTTGACCAATGCTGAAAAGTTTTTAAAGCTGTTGCAACATGATGAGCAATGATGAAAAGGATGCAATGTGACGAACAATAAGGGAATCTGATGAAACTTAATGAAAGATGATTAAGCATGATGACGTTGTTGGCAATGAGCCAGGATTGAGAATTATGAAAATTTTGTAATATGATATAGTATGATTCAATAGAATCATGAATAATGATGAGGACTGAGTGAAAAGTCATTAAAACAAACAGTACAACACAATGCGAAAATATCAAATATGATGGGACAACATGGAATAATGAAAACTGAGGAAACCTGATGAGATATGATGATAATTTTGAAGCACAATTCGGTTCTGAGGGGGGAAGGGGGAAATTATGGAAATCATGGAAACTAATGGAACACGATGGACATCATGAAATATGATAAAAGTCTTGCACCAAGGACAACAGCAATGAACAAATGCTGAACAGTGCTCAATTGTCATCAACATGAAAGAAAAGGCCGAACCGTTAAGAAAAAGTATACTAACAAAATATTATGAACCAGATGAAAAGTAATGAAAGATGTTGGAAAATCATTGTTGTGAAAATTCAGCTTCTGTGCCTCTGCAAGCCTGCTTGCCGGAAGCGTCTAAGACTTCACAGCATACGACGAAGAAGCCTTCTACCCCTGACTGCTTGCGAGGGGCAGCGTCGCTGTGTTGCTTCACCGCGCGAGGTCGAGTCGCACCTCTCCTGAAAAGATACGACATGTGTAGAACCTCGCATCTGGCCATGGCACCATGTCCTCCTCCCCACTGCATCGCCCCACGAGGACAGCAAGCCTTGGAAATTGTAAGGGCTAACGGGCTAACGGGACACAGGTCCACTCAAAGGTACAAAAGAAGCGAACGGGCAACTGAGTCTACAACAACACGGCAATTCGCGCCAAGGGCATTAGCTATTGAGGCATGCCTCCTGGCTTGAGCCATGATGCCGTCAACAAAGGCTCACAGCGGCTGTCACAAATTATGCAAAGATCGCCGCGACATATGAGTAAAGCCAATGTTGACACGAGGCAGAGAAGACTTTGATCTCGGGACCGCGATAACACGGTGACCCAACCTTCCGATTATCATGTAAAACGAGGCGCGACCGAGCGCGCTTGCACGTTAAACATACGTCTGACGGTGTACAGGTGTGTGCAGGGACTTGCCAATGTCTTTGGTTTTCATCTTCAACTAAAATGCATGCTGCACAACTCCGCGAAGGCTGCGCACCTTTTTGCGAGCATATGTAGGCGTTGCCATGCTTCAAAGCAAGCAGCAAGCGGAAAGCAGGCGCCAAAGCAGACTGTCTACATATGGGTCTGCGCCTATGCCTTGGCAAGCCCAGCTCCAAATGGATACATCATATTTCTTTGTTTGGCGTTGTGGCGTTCAGGCGCCTGCGGTGCCCCGCCAAACATCTAGATGATCTCCTGCTAAGAACACTCTGGCAACGATTAGGGAGTTGTGCATGTGTGTTGGAATGTCTAGCATAGTGCTTGGTCAGGTGACAGTTGACACTAAGCAGGCTGACAAACACCTATGCTAAGGCAACAGGTGTCAACGAGCCGGTGCTCAGCGCTCACGCTGCCACTTTCTCTAACCTGAGCAGCCCGTGTCGCGCTTTCCGTCATGAACGCCACTTGCTGGGCGCTGAGGCTTACATGCAGAAGGAAGTATGTCAATTGCGGCTCGATTTAAGCGAAGATAATCTCAAACCGCCAGGAAGCAGAGGTTGGCCGGAAGGCAGCCCTGCTTCAACCGGGTCCATGAGAACCCAGGCCTGCGAGAGCCAGCAATTCCACGCAGAGTTCACATAGATTCTCATCACACTCTAAGAGAAGTATCGGTATCTGGAAAGCGCTCGGGCAGTTTGGATAAACTTCTTCTTAAAATCGCTCTTATGAAGTGGAGGAACTTCAACTGTAGCAGGTTTCTTTGCAGCTTTGATTAGCCAGGCCAGCACACGTGCGTTTCAGCATCACCTGCACCTCACTTATTTCAATGCCCTGGGCCAAAACAAGCCATCTAAGCGTCCAACTACCGAATATCTGTCCCGACTCCTTGGATCCAAGGCTCCCCGTACAGTACCCGGTTTCTCCGGATGTGCAACGATGAAGCAAGCTCAGGGAATCATCAAATGATCAGATTGCGCTTTCAAAAGGTATCCCGCAGGTGACCTCCTGCACGCCGAGCTTCACGAGCTCGGAATGGTGCAGCTGCAGCCACTTACCGTCCTGCACATCCAGTACAGGGGGCTGAGGTAGCAAGTCATGCTTGAGACCTCCAGCAAGCGCGCTGAATACATGAAGAAGCAATCCCCACAACTCTGCCAACCTGCTTCTGGGATGACGCGGACTCATGACTTGGGTTGAGCTTCAAGCCCGTAGCTAAAAGATCTAAATGCAGTGCAGCGCAGGTGCTGCATACAGTATAGTATCAACCCTGATGTGCCTTGACGTGCTGCACCTTCAGCCTCTTACCGGCCTGCCAACGCAGGATTCGTCTGAATTTGATGCAGGATCGCGAACGACCAGGCTTAGCCTATCGTGGGATAAGGGCAGAGGCTGATGACTATTTCTAATGCCCTCTCCGGAGCCCAGGTGCGACGCCATGGTAAGAGCTCATACGTGCTGAGTAACTCCTTGCCTTTTTGCGGCCAACCATCTTGGCCTGCAAGCGATTGCAAGCGCAAGGTGCTCTGTGCTTGACATCTGCAAGTCCAGAGCACATCTACTAAGGCCTTGCTCATGTGTTTATTTGATTAGCAGATTTGACTGCTTAGCAGCCATGCCTTCTCATCCGGCTGCTCCCGAATCATGACTGCAGGCTTGTGGACAACGACGTACCACATCTCCTGCGCAGGCCCAAGCGTTGCAGCGCTGCATTAGAGAGCTTCGAAGTCCCATCCTCAGCTCAACTTCTTGCAAGACTCCAGCGCTGCGGCTGACGATCATGCCAGGCGTTGCTGACACGCAACTTCCAAATCAGTCAGTCTAAACGCTTCTTCATTCAGGTCCTGCTTCAGACTGGAGGTTCCTTGTAACTTCAGCTCGCCTGTCTCCTGGCACGGATTCTGACATTGTTGGGCTGCCACGTAACCTTCGAACTGACGCGGTAGGTCGCCGCCCCCAACCCCTGTCCTCGTCTTCTATCAGGAACTCGTGCGCCTCATCACCATCCTCATCCTGTGGCAACCCAGGCTGGCTGAAAGCTATGTGATGCTTAGCCAAGCAGGCCCTTGGCGGTTTCGATAAAGCATTGCTACTGTTGCAAGCACTCGCACAAACTGCCCGGCGTGAATCCTGTAGCCCTGCCATGCCTGCACCTTGCCCCTACCTCAATCAGCAGACTGCAAACCTGATCAAACCTGCAGGTCCAGCCTGGAACAAAGGAAAAGAGCAGCTTTGGACCGGCGCATCTCCGTCAGGTCTGGCAGAAATGCAAGACGACATGCTGGAAAGAAGGAACCAAATAACAATGCCCCCATTCCCACCAACTACCTACCCTAGCAATCGCTGAGCCTCCAACTGCTACTCCAAACCAGGCTCATGATGAATCAGTGAAGCTTCTTGTGCTGATTGAGAAGTTGGGCCATAGCTCCGAAATGTGAGAGGTTCTATACTTTTCCTGTTTGTTTGGCTGTCTCTGGCGAATCTGCAGGGTTTGGAGTACCAGGCTGGATAGAAGAGCACGTAAAACTGAGAGCGCGCTGCCGAAGAATGAAATTGATCGTGTGGCACCAATGCAGGACCTGGCCTGTAGAAGAAGAGTTCTGATGCCTTGGAGGGCCTGTGGGCAAGGCTTTCTTGGCTCCATCTCTATGCGCAGTCATGCACGGTCGTGCGTTCGATCAAGCAGCCCAAAACGGTTAGGGTCGGGAATTGGCAGATTGGAAAGGCACTGACTGAGAGGCTCGAGCCTTATCAATTAGCGTAAAACATGAGAAGACCTTGTCGCAGGATTCATACGCATCTGGTATGCGTTTCGCAAGTATACGTCACGGTTGCAATCAAGGTGCACAAGAGCTAGCACGACGTGGCCACATGCTTCACACATGAGGAGGATACACAANNCCCCCCCCCCCCCCTTTACTGGCTGATGAAGGGCAATCAGCATGACACTGCATAAGCATGTTCTACATGTCAGCGCCGCAAAAGCATGCATGGGTCTCTGCACTTCTCAAACATTGTGCAAGAAGCATTGCACAACAAATCTGCCAATGCCAACTGTTTTGGGCAAGCGGCGGCACGAACTGGGCGTTGCGTGGCCTTGGTTCCAATGGGCTTGGCCGTGGGATGCCGTGCAAATCCGGAGGGCAGAAAGTCACCCATCTGAGGACCAGGGCGTGCAACAAAAGGTGCATAGCAAGGGCCCGGCAGTCCCATCATCATGTTGATCTCTTCCTGGACCTTTCTGACCTGCACGAAGCACATGAGACTGAAATTGGCATCAGCAACCGCATCCGTCGCCTTCGGATGCAACAATGCGTCAGACATCTTGTTGATCATCTCCCTCACACCGTCCCAGTTTGGTGCTAGCTTCCAATCTGGGAGAACCTGCGAACCAGGGAGGGAGAGTCGGACTTAGAAAGCTGCCGCCCTTTGGTGCAGTCTTCTGGCTTGCTGGCTGCCCAGGACACTATCAGACCCTTGCTTCTGCCACGAGCCTTGGCATAAACGGAATGCGCAAGAGTATTGAAGGCCTGCCCAGGGATAAAGGTCTAGCGGTCAGCTTTGGCATGACACATCTAAGGATTGGGTCTAGGTGTTATTCAAGCTTGCCTGTAGACTAGATGGGGCTAAGAAGGCCGGATATCGCATTGCAGCTGGTCGGAGATCAAGATACAAAGGCGCTGTGAGGAGTGGGAATCCATGGTTGAAAGTGCTGCCTGGATTTGCTTGGTGTAAAGGAACACTCGAAATCGAACAACCGCTGGGGTGAGACAGATTGGCGGCTGAACCGCCACAAAGCGCTCGCGCGGTCGCTCTGAACCTGCATCAGCAGAACCCTGTCTTGACAGGATCAAGGCACTTCTGCAGAATGGTGTGGCTCCATTCCGAGGGACAACCAAAATTTCCCAAACATGATCCCAGTTAATCTCAATCCGTAATTGTTGCAACTTGAAGGCTTTGGAGAGCCGGAATGCTTCACCTTGGCCTAACCTAACTGCTAAGACACCTTACATCAAAGCCATCTCAATTGAAGACAAGGCGGCATGGTCAAGGACGACCACTTATTCCTGGCTCAGCGACCTTCGGTCCATCAAGCCGAGGATGCCTGCCAATGGCATGGGTCTTCCCTTGCGGGGGAATGCGAGGGACGATGCCAGCTTTGAGCTTTCCACGCTTGCATATGCTCGCGTTTGCAAGCGCCAGCACACACAGTCCCGAGTGACTTCCATCAGCTTGGGCACCTATGACAAGCAGGTGGGGCCACATGATGCCACAAGTCTTCCAAGGTATGCTAGTAATAGAGTCGGCTAGTTGCAGCTCATGACTGGTGGCAGGACAGCATGACAGTCAGTCGCCATCAAGCAGCTGCTAAGTCTACTGATTTCCTCCTGCAGAGTCTCCGCATCTCCTGAGCCGCAAATGGTGATGCGCTGGCAATCCAGAAGTGGTCAAGCTGGTAAGGGGCCGGATTAAGGGTTGAGGATAAAGGCTGAAACTGAATGCAGAGAATCTAGATCTGAAAGGCATAGCTATTTGCTAATACCTACCTGGTTGCACGAATAAAGCTTCCTTAGCTGCATGCTGACGACAGCCTAGTGGATCTGGTGTTTAGATTGCCTTCCTGTACCTTCCTTCTGCAAGAGGAGGAGCTGGAAGTAGTCGACTGCCCAATGGCAACCTCAAAAAATGGCACCCGCTTGTGCGGGCACAAGCTTTCAAGCTGTACTGGAGGCACACTCCGCCCCGGAGGTAGGCAGCTTGCCAAAGCAAGTGCATCAGACACATGACTGAAAGGCATAATTGGCTGGTGTCTTTCAGGCCCTTCAGGCTATCAGTAGAACTTGGGATGATAGGGACGAGTTGATAACTTGCCCTCAACAAATGAGCGCTATGTAGATTATCGTGCGTAAAAAGCAGTGACCGGGGGATACGCGGCGCTGTCCTCAGAGTGATTGTTCTTTGGCCAAGGCCAAAGGCCTGAGAAGCAGGCGCATCAGAAAGCTCTGCAAGCTTGAACCCATACCACCTTAAGTCCACTTGTAAAAGATGCCCTCAACTCCCGAATGCTCCCAAGCCCTATCTGATGCCTTCTTTTTCCGCACCGAGGCACTGGGCAAGTCCACTTCGGCCTTGTGTGGCCCTGCAGGACGTGCAGCTGCGGGTCCCCTCTCCCCGGCCCGCCTCGAAGTAAGCAGCGCTGTCGTAGTGGCCCTTCGTCTTGCGCTCCGGATACTGTGCTTGCAGTTTCTTCAGATTCTCCTCATCGGAAAGATGTACACATCTGTACATTATGTCAGCGTGCACAGGAAGACAAGCCCCATGTTTAGTGCAAAACATCCCGTGCCTGGAAATCAGGATCGGAAAAGCCAGTGAGCAGCTGCTGCCTTGGGGTACTAGTTTGCCAATGTGGCTTCATGCGATATTCATTCGTTAGTGGCAGTAACTTTGGGATCGAGACGCTCTTGGGGGCTTGGACGAACTCATACATGCTTCAGGCGCTTCCCGAAATCAAGTGAGCATGTGGACTTCAACATCTTGATCCTGCTGTGCAGAGGTACGTACGCAAACGCAATCTTGGGGCGCAGCTGTAGCTGAAGAGCCTCCTCAATCTCATAGCCAAAGGCCTTTCCGATGCTTTTGTGGGAGGCTTAGACCTAGAGGTGAACCACAACTAGACACTAGACAAATGCTGGCGGATCATAACTTCTGAGAACTGTCCACCTCCATTTGACGTGCAAGCCCACCACAACACCCTCATGACCCCAGACCCGACCATAACATTGAAAGCGGGCCCTATCGTGCCTTGCTATGCGAGCGCTTCTTCGGCGTCTGTGCCTCTGCGGCCGGTGCCGGGTTCGCCGGCGCCGGCGCCGGCGTCGTCTGCGAGAGCGCACGCCAGTCACTGTAGCTGCTTTTCTAGGCTTGGGGTTAGTGCGAGAGCTGCACTGCACGCCCTTGTTGCGCTAGCCTGTTACAGACCCCTTCTCAGGTGGCGCCCATGCATTGTACAGAGCAATATCTTGGGCTGTGGCGTGTGACGGCTCTCTCTCACACACCCTATATATGAGGTATGCATGTGGGGACCGGCCCATGCAACAAGCCAAAGGATAAACACACTGCCAAATGACGACAGGAGCTCCGAAAGCTGAAGTCACATCCTGTTTGGACTGATCAACTGCCCTTGAGAGTTTGCTCATGTTGCAACCGACCCTGTATACAAGTCTGCTGCTGTAATAAGGTTTCACAAGCGGCTAATGGGAGTGCTAAATGTGCGGAGACGAGGGATCTCTAAACTGCATGACGTGTCTGGCGCCCTTCGTTGCTGGGGCAGTTGAGGATATGTTACAGCCGACAACAGCAGCAAAAAGAAGTCTCGCAAAATGGTAGGCATTACACTCGCTATCTTGACTGACTAGCCATGTCGTTTCAAGGTATTTTTGTCATGAGTTCCATCAGACTCATTGCTCTACTGTGGACTTACTGCAGTCAACGGGCACCTCACCAAAAATGGCCAACCCTAACATCACGATTGTCCGCGATTTCTGATGCTGCACATGATCTGCCATGAGCTGTGTATACATCTTGAAAAGCTAGGTGGGCGCTGCTTCGAGTTGAAAGCCCTACCTCCATGGTCGTTAAAGTGGCAGTCTGCATGCCTAGAAAGCTTTAGCCTCCGGGCTCACGACATCGATAAGCACATGACCCTGCCTTGGAAGTGCCGCCGCTTGCAAACCAGGCCTCTAATTCTTCAAGCTTCCAGGTCCAGGCCTGAGGATTGCTGCAGGCCACCCGCTGCCCACACCCGATAGCCAAAGCGCTACTTGCAGCCGTCGACACAACCGCAGCTGCATTATTTGATCATGGTCTGTTCACAGTGATGACTGGGCGCCCAACATCTGATGGTACCTTCACCTGGGCGAGAGGCCAGCAAGCAAGCAGACTCAAAATCTGCCTTGGAGCAGTGAAGGGCTCCTTTTTCAACTGTTCCTGCATGATGTACAGTGCAACTTGTGCGAGCCTGTGGGTGCTTTCTTCTCAGGTCCTGTCAGAAGCAGATTGGGGATGTACTTCAACTGGAAGCAAACCGCGCTCCTCCAACTTCGCAGTGAAGTCAATTGCAGATGTAGCCTCATGCAGGAAAAAACAGAAGAAGGCAAAACCCGATCTTCCAAGCGCTGTAGCGCGAGATCTGCACTGCATCAGAGCCAGTCCCATCACCCGCAACTCACACAAAGACATACAAGTAGCAATTGCAAGCAAACTGAAGCCAGCAGCCTAGGTTAAGTCCGACTTTGAATGCACGAAGCCGAAGCATACGGTCTTTCATTAGGAATGGCCCTGCTAGCCGCTGCCAGCCTCCATCATGTTGGGCGCAGCCTTGGACGCGGCACATGCATGGTTGAGTCTGCAAACCCTACAGGGCTGAAGGGTTGCAAACAAAGGCAGAACCAAGCTTGAGCACCAAAACCTGAAAGTATGAGCTGCGCTGGGAGATGGCTTGGCTACGTTCATCTCAACAGTCGCCGAATGCGTTGCTCCGCTTCAGGCCCAGTGACGCCAAGTGCGGCTGCTGCAGCCATGGCCGCCTGTTCCATATCATGTGCTTCTTGAAGTCAGACTGGCTACTTTCACTGTTGCACCTGCGCCTCCCGATCAGTCCAAGTCACATTGCGCATTGCTGCTGCACACAACAACGCCCACCGCCGCAGCCACATCGTCTACTACTGCACACGTGCGCTGTTACGATCGGATGTTTGTTACAGACCGCTCCTCCACCGCCACCGCCCACTCTGACCACAACCCGCAAATCAAACTCTTCCCGCCCCATGTGCTCAGCTCTTGGACATGAACTGTCTCAGTGGAAACTCCATACCAGCACATGAGATACCATGGCGACGCATGGATACGCATCTAGAGCTTGACCAGTGAGGCCTGACTCACAACATGCGTTAACTTACCCGCACATGGCCTGTTGCAAAGAATCCGCAGCATGGATTGAACATAGCAGTGGAAAGCAAAGGTAACACAAGTAACAAAGCCAATGGGTTGCTTTTGCCTCGAGTGTGCCGGCAGGTCTGGCAGCTGGCGGGCCAGGACCTCTTTTGAGGCTTGACTCAATCAGGAGTTTCGCAAATGTCAGATCCTGATTAGCGCAGGTGTCAGTCAAATTATTCAGTACTCCCTGTTCGAATTGGGGAAGCCCAATCGAGTACAGTATTCTTTGCCTAATTTCTCTGGATCTGAAGTCATCTATTTCAATCATGATAATCCTCATCCCTTCCCTTCCGAATTTGAACACGAACTGAAGGATCCCCCTGCCCTTGCTAGGTACACAGGATACGCCAGACCCCCATTTGTTTTCGGCTCTTTATTGTATGCGCTCCCCTTCTTGTTTGGGCGGGGTGTGCTGCTAACTAGGTCCTACAGATGGGTTGTTGGGTGACACAAGTCACGTGCCAAACTTAGAGCAAGGGAGCTCCAAAAACTATTCTCCATATGATATATCTTACTCTGGCATGTCTAGCTAAGAGCGGACCTGGAGGTGGCGGCGGCTGGCCAGGCTTCCAATTTGGGTGTGGCGGTGGTGGGGGCGGCGCACCCTGGCGCCTAAGCGGACATTCTTTACTGATGCTGTTGACTTGAATGATCTGTGAGACTGCGAATAGGAACTGAGGTACCGGCGGTCGCAAATGACCTTGGCCAGCATCTTCTTAAAATCTTAGGGTGTTGGCACTCACTACTCTCACTATAGGACATGCGCACCACCAAAACCCAAATATCCCTTTCCTCCTGTATCTTTTGCTACCACTGCTGACTGCTTCAGTATTTGACATTGCTTTGAAGCGGAGCCCTTTCTTTTATACTCTTGTTCCTTTTTTGTGGACTTTGGCAGTGAAGTCAAGCACGTTTTCGAGGATGGTTTCGGAGGCAGAAGATCGTTTTTCGTGTTGAAATAGATGTACTTTGAGAAGTTTCAGGCTCTTTCGCTGGCTCTTCAGGAATCCTGCAATTCTGATTGGATCTTCCAGTTCTGCGCTAATACTTTCTCAAGCAAATCTGCAGGAGTTCTAGGAAATATGCTGCTAAAATCCAACTTGATGCTTGCGACACTCACGTGGCTTTGAGAAGAAAACATGCATCTGTGAGATTTCATTATTTACCTTGCGCCTACGGAGAGGCGGGGGGGACGCGGAGACGATAGAGCCAGGGACAGCGCAGGCAAATCAGCAAGAACTGCAAGATGCACAAGAAGCTACCCGGCAACAGAGTGACCAGCACTTGCAACAAACTGTTTTATGAGGTCTCCTACACTCGGACCGCATAGCGACCGGGATGTCAAGATCCTAATTACCAGTGAACTAAGGTGACCCGAAAAATAATCATTGGCTAGATTCAATCATGGCCCAAGCTGAAGATGGCGGGAGTAAGAACCATGGAGTGGCGAGACGAATGACATTAGTAAATTTTGACAAGAGCTGCAATTGTGACAAAAGTGGTAGCATCGGCAGTGACTGCTCGCATTAACATAGCAGCAATGATGATACCCGTTGGCTTACCCTTGTTGTTTTCAGGCACTTGGCTTGGCTTGGGCAAGGAGGGGCAGGGGTAACCCCCCCCTCTCTGCCGGCAATGGTGTCATCAACGTGGAAACTCTGTTTATGAAGGGTTTCTAATGAAATGAGCGACTGTCCATATGAAACTTATAAACCAAGGGACCACTCACAATGCACATCAGCATCCCGAATACACTCCCGGATGGAAACCATGTCTTTTAGCTATACGGTAAATATTGATTGTAGGCTTTTCCGAGCAGAGATGGCTGGAGCAACCACGCGGTTTTGGTCTTGGTTGAGCTACCCGCTACCCTCTCAGTCGTTCAGGCCATCTGTCGCCGTTGCATTGGGAGTACCATTGTCATCGTTCTCTTGACCCGGCAGACGCTTCAATCATGTCACTCCCTTAGCCAAAATACCCTTCTTCATCCACGGTATCGTTGCCTGCAACCCTGGGTGTTTGTTGGAGACGAACTCTGTAGTGCGACAAACCAGCTTCACCCAATTCCTCCAGTGTGTCTGCATCCATCACCACTCCCTCCCTCGCTCCATAGGCTCAACCAGGCTTCATCAATCCGCACAGGTCTACTCGCCGCAGTCTACAATTCAGTTGCGGTCATGCTTCCATGTAGCTGTACGGGTGACCATGAGGCCCGGTTGTCATTGGGAAAGACCGCCTTGTGGCCTCCTGTTTCGCTACTGGAACTTGCCTCTGGCTAGTGTATCACATTGAGGGTGAAGGGACGGACCATCAATTCAAGGCAGCGCTACGTATGCACGATGTACGTATGGTATGCCCCCTTTGGTCCGTGGCGTGGAGATGTAGCCCTGGTGCCCTCCTCCACGCGAGCATTTCGGCTTCATGCCCTGCCGTCTGGTCGGCTATTGTCCTCTTTGACTCCCTAAGTTGCTCATCCTGTTTGCTCACTTGGGATGATCGCAACGCAAGTGCGTTCAGCTGGCCCAATGTATCTCCTCAAATTCTTCGGTTCTTTGCCGTTGGTTCTTCATCTGCCAGCACACGTTGTCCCTGCAATTCGCCAACATAGGCCAGAACATGCCAGAACTGT